CCCTTGCCTTATATATCTTTTGTGTATGGCAGGAACCCTTTGTCTTCCAGGGAAAAACACTGGCATTCCAAGGAGGGCAGGGGTCCAGTACCAGGTAACTCTGACCCATGTCTCTGTGGGGTTGTAGTAGCCATTACTCACAGACTGTCTGGAGCATTCACAGGAAGACTAAGCTCTTTCACAGTACATTGTCTTTCCTAATGGGCCATCAGATCTGTCTGGCCTTTTCATTATTTTACCTAAAGGGCTAGTTGTGGGTGAAACCCAAAGTAGCACATTTGAAATATGGATACATGGTCAATATTCCTAACTTCAGATACAGAAATGATACATACAAATTGGATAATCACATTCAGTAAATCATAACCTTTCCAATGATATCTTACATGAGCCATCTGGCATAAAGTATATCTCAGTTATGCCATATCCATACCATAAGCATATTTCCACAAAGAATATGGAGTGTAACGTCACAGTGGGGACTATAGAGTGACCTAGCCCGAGGGCTGAGTCACAAAAAAAGAGAGAACCCCAAGTCAGAGACAGAGAGGCCACAGGGTGAGTGAATGACACAAGGGATGTTAGACTGGACCAGGGCCGATTCCCCAGACACAACCATGAGAATTTGCACAAATGGTGAATGAACTCCATGAGACTGACCCAGGGTGCATGGGCACTTGGCGGGCATTCTGCTGCAGCCCCCAATACTGGCACAACTCCAGTGCCTGATGATATTTCTTTTAGTTGGTGGAGAGGTGGGGCTGGACTCAGTTGACTTGCATTGGTATAGGACAACTGAGACCATGGGAGGCAGAAGAGTTCTGGACACTGGGGAGTGAGTGGCATGCTTTTCTTGGGCTTTCTCCATTAGTCAATCGTCAATCTGGATGCAAAAATCAATTAAAGTTCCCAGGCTAGATGGAGATTCCACCCGTACTGGTTCATCTTTGATAGAGTCGTTGAGCCCCTGCCTAAAGTGGTGTCACTGCACAGCCTCATTCCCGTGGGTGTCTGTGGCCAGACATCGAAATTCCACTGCATATTTGGCAACAGAACTGGTACTCTTCCAGAGGGCATGGAGAGCAGCTTCTGTGGTGTGTTCTTGATGCCCACCATTGCCCATACAAAGCTGCTCCTGTTCTTAAAATGTATCTCTTTCTCTGTTGGCTATTGCAAATTTTGGTGCATATATTTGAATTATTATATATCTGACATGCCTTGTTTATAGCCTGACTGTTATTCTGTCATTCACTGGCTCCAGCACTGGAGGGACTACAAGGCCTGATGCATCAGCAGTGCTAAAATATAAGTAAAATCTAATTAATTAATCCTTCACTGATTAGGGTCACTTGCTATTTGTGGTACTTCTTCCCAAATTATGTCAGTGCATTCAATATCCTTTGTCATGGTCTTCTGCCAGTTCTTCCTTGGCCTTCCTCACTTTCTCTTTCCTTCCTCAGGTACCCAATTCAATGCTTGCTTAGCATGTCTCCCATTTTCCTTATGGTGTACAAGTCCCAACCACTTGAGCATTCTTTCTTTGATATTTTCTAACATGTCCTGCTTTGCTAGACCCCTTTCTCTCACATTAATTAATGAATTAGGGTGAGTGTGATTACCAATTCTCCCCATCCAGGTGCTTCACTCATCTTTTAGCCTTGTCAATCTGAGAAGGCCAGGCAGCTCCCCACACTACCCTTCCCTGCAGCATTTCAAACCAGCGTACAGTTACCCCCAGAGAAAGGTTCATGATCTGCCCTAAATCTCTAAGTCCTCTATGAAGTCCACCCACTAAAAAAATCCAAATAATTTTTACCCAGGTGTACAAAGCATGTACGAGGGGTATCAGCTGGTCCCAGAGCATGCCCCTCTTGCCATGCCAAGTCCAACTCAGATTAGCCTCATGACCAAGCCTAGCTATGAACCTCCGTGGGAATTGGCTGCACATCCACAGGCCTAAGGTCCAGATGTCCCTACTTCTGCCCTATTTTCCCTTCCGGCTCCTCACAGCTCACTAGTGGTGAGGAGAGCATAGCCAGCCACCTTGCCCCACTTGCCTGGGTGATTCCATATTGTAGCTACCACAGTGGACTGCCCCCACCTCCAATCACATTTTAAAATGTAAAACTCCCAAACATGGCATTGGCACACCCCAGCAATATTTTTGCCAACAACGGGTTAACATAATGGATTGCATATTTGGTTGAAGAAATTGATGGCCCCTGGACTCGTAAACAATTTTATATTTCATGAGATACAGAAGAGAAATAAGAGAGATCCCTCTCAGTGGAGATGCTCCTTATAAAGACACTCCAATGCAATGTTATCAGTTTTCATAGTGTGAAAAGAGAGAACTTACCAAAAGATAAACAAAAATTGCTACAAGTGGGATTCAGAAATCAATGTAACTCATCTAAGGGTGACATATGCTCCACTTTTGTAGTAAGCAAATAAAAATTAAAGGCGAAGAGTTAACATCCACAAATATTGACTACAAAACTGAGCCACATAAGTTATGCGTAATGTCACTCAGCCATGAGAAAGCAATTCTTAAAAGTTTGTAACCAGCAAACTTTTTTTCTGGCAATATATTTTAAAACATAGATACGGGAACCGAAAACTGCAAGAGCAACAACAACAAAAAAGACCATTGGAGTCTCCAAACTTCAAGCATGGCACATCCCTAAGACAGGTTTCAGAGTAACAGCCATGTTAGTCTGTATTCGCAAAAAGAAAAGGAGTACTTGTGGCACCTTAGAGACTAACCAATTTATCTGAGCATGAGCTTTCGTGAGCTACAGCTCACTTCATCGGATGCATACTGTGGAAACAAGCTACAGCTCACTTCATCGGATGCATACCGTGGAAAACTGTTTCCACGGTATGCATCCGATGAAGTGAGCTGTAGCTCATGAAAGCTCATGCTCAAATAAATTGGTTAGTCTCTAAGGTGCCACAAGTCCTCCTTTTCTTTTTACATCCCTAAGAATAATTTGTAGCTAAATTTGTCTTCACAAAGGATGTCTCCCGCTTCCACACCCACATCTTATCTCCAGGAAGAAGCTGGAGGTCCTCACCACTGTTTGCCCCCAGGATGCTGTAGATCTTGTTGTCTTACCTCCCATCTTGGCATGGGCAAGACAGGGAGATGAGCACCTCTGTCCTTCCCTATCATTATTGATTTGTATTCAGTAGCACTTAGCAGCCCCAGACAGGAACCGGGTCCCTATTGTGTTAGGTGCTGTACAAACACAAGCCCTGCCCCAAAGATATAATAATATTATAATTTAAGGAGTTCCTGGGCAAAGGTGTGTAAAGTTTAGGTGTACATGCAAATTAATGTTCTTTTTAAAACAATTGGAACATTCAAACATATCAAAACTGATAGTAATCAGTGCCTGTCTATTGCCTTGTCTATATTCCAATGTGCACCATTTTAACTTCAAATATGTTTAAAAACCAAAGTAGCTAAATCAGTCCAAAATTCTCTATGGACAGTTTTCATTTAATTTACACCTGGTTTAAATTATATTTACTCATCTTAACTTGCATCATTAATCTTATTTAAATATGATTTGTATTATAGAAATGTAAGGTTGGAAGGGACCTCGAGAGGTCATCTAGTCCAGCCCCTTCACCTAGGCAGAACCAACTATACCTAGACCATTCCCAGTAGGTGTTTGTCTAACCTGTACTGACCTAAGCTAAATCAATATAAACTGGGTATAAACTGATTTAAAAGTGTATGCACAAGATTGTGCACCATTTTAACCAAACGGGTTTTAAAATCAAAGGTTTGGTTTAACCAGGTATAACTTTCAATATAGCCAGGCTCAGACTTCTGGATTGCTTTATCCCAGTTGATCACATCCCTTGGTAGGATTAGGGAAAATGCTGTTGGACTAGAGCAGAAGGATGAAAGTCTGGAGGAGGCGGGTTCCACTTGACCTGAACAGCAGGATGTTTCTGTCTTGGCATCCATCCTCCCTATGTGCAGGCTTTCTGCCTGTAGCATCTCCAGGCACCATGAGCCTGTCCACTGACAGCACAGGGCTAAGAGACGGATTGTGGGGCTTACACTGGCCCCTTGATAACTGGTAAAATAGAGGTCAACTGCCTGTGCGCTACAATGATTACAGTACAAAGCTCATGTGGAAGGAATGTCACTTACCATATTTTATTCATGGTAAGCAGCCAGACATCTGTATTGCTGCATGAAATTAATGCTGAAATACAGGGTAACGAGCATCCCGTATTGAGTTGATATAGGACTCAGGATAAAATGCAGGTAGAAGTGTCGTTTAATAAGAGTCAGGGTTCTGGAGGAGACTGTATCCCTTCACTCCTCCCAAGGAGCAGGCTTGCAACTCCAACCTCAGCCTCTCCTCCTGTTTCCCCACCAGGAGACTACCTCCCTTCACCATACATTCCCCCCCCCCCCCCAGCACTTGCTTGTTCCCAGGTAGAATCCATAGCATCGAGCAGCCCCCTTCTATGCCCCCCCGCACCCCCTCTCATCTCCGCTTGGCCCCAGCCTTAGAGCTCACATGACCCTTCCTGGGCTCCAAGAACTGGCACCTCCCTTGCTGGCACCTCATCCCTTCTGCAACCCCTTAGTCCCCTGAATGGTGCTGGCCCCCTCTTGCAACCCCCTAGTCCCCTAAATGCTGGCCCCTCTTGCAACCCCCTAGTCCTCTGGATGGTGCTCGAGACCCTCTTCCCCAGGGTACCTCCTTGCCCGTCCCCAGGGAGCATTCACCCAGAGGATGCCGTAGCGCCCCACGCCGCTATATCCTTTCGGGGCGCAGGCCCCAGAGAGCAGCTCGGCTCCGCGCTCCCTGCCCCGAGGCCGGGGTCCGGGGCTCTCCCCCCTCCCGCCTTTGTTCTGCCTGGCTCCGCCTCCTGCCAGCGCTGCCGGCTGATTGGGCGGCGGCGCCGCCAGTCTGGGCCGGCTCTGGCATGTGTGAATGATACTCCCCGGGCGTGTGGGGCTCGCTCGCGGCAGCTGCCTCCTCCTTCCCCCTCGGCCTGGAGTGGAGCCGCGGCTCCCTGCCCGCCCTCTCCCCATTGTTGCGCTGGGTCTCGGGGTGGGCAGGCGCCCGGCTTTGCGCGGAGAATTGCTGCAAGACAAGGCTCGAGGTAGGAAATGTCTCTTTGCTGCTTCCACTCTCGCTCCGCTGCTTTCCCTTTCCCGGCTCCCTGTTTGCAGAGCTCCCCCAGCCAGCCCCAATGCCAAGGCAGAAACGGGCCGCTGGGCTCGGCCGAGGGGGCTCTGAAACCAGAACGGGGCTTTCTCTGGCCAGGCTCTGATCCCCTAGGCAGCCCCTGCGAACAGCCCGGAGCTGGAAGTCCTTTGGGAAGCACCTAGCCCAGAGACAAAAAAAGTCCCTCTCTGTTTTGGCTGGGAGAAGCACATGGAAAAAGCGGTGATGGAGCGAGAGCATCGGGCGGTAGCATTCAGTCAGTTACTGTTTTCCCCTCTTGCAAGATCTCTGGTGGTTGGGTTCCCCCCCCCGCCCCCCCGACTCCGGCGCTGTTACATGATGCAACCCTTGCGTAGGGTTTGAAAGAGCAACAATCCGGGTTGAGCTCTTCCCAGATTATGCCATCTGGTTGTGATCCTTGTGACTCCAATCTCCAGTGCAAGGCACCAGCCTGTCTGAGGGGCTGCCCCAACTCCGAGAGGCTGCTGCTTTGCACGGCAGAGGGTTTCATTATTTCCCCCCCAGCTTCTGGGACAATCCACCCCGATTTTGCCATTTCAACCCGTTTCAGCACGGAAGCGGGGGAGGGGAATTGCATCATGTTACAGTCCCGGAGTCAGTAAGGGCGAAGGCAAAAAGAACCATCTTTCCAGACCTATCCCCACTGGCTTCACCAATATGTTACCCCCTCCTTTGTATTTCCTGTTTAACGGAGAGGTTAAAACTGAAAAGCAGCCGTGTGATTGGTAGAAAGATGTTCAGTTCACAGCGACGTATTTTGATTTCTTCCACTGGGATTTTTTTTTTTTAAATTCAATTTTTACTTTGTCGGTTCTGCTTGGAGATAGGTGAAATGTACCCAAGATTTAGCCCGTTGCAAAATGAGTAGTGAGGCAACAGAGAGAGATGTTTGGAAATAGAGCACATTCTCTAGTTTGTGTACAGAGTTCAAAGACTGCAATTGATTGTAAGAAAGGAAGGGATTCACCTGCCTGGAGCGGGAGGGTAGTATGGAGGAATATACATGTGACTCAGAGAAGAATCACCATCTTTCCTTTCCATGGATGTTAGGGATGGAAGAGACTTCAGCTTTTCCAGTCTCTCCCATTTGTTTCATCAGTGTTTATTCCTCACACTTAATAGATTTTTAGTTAGTTAGTTTTTCATGCTTGGACCATGGGTGATGGTTTCAAGCAAGATCAGAATGATAAAATAATGAAGCAGACCCCAAATGCAGAGGGATCCCTTCAAAAAACACTGTGTTGTAAAGTTGTGGTCATTCCAACCTCACATCCTCTGAAGATTTCTGTTGATAGCACTCTTTGTTTTGCTCCATGGGAGAAAACTATATTCTGACAACATGGATCAACTCTACCGTTTATGATATTTTTCACAAATGGATTACCCCTCCCCTCCCACACACAGCCTTGCGGTACAGTGGAGGTACTGCTGTTGGCAGCAAAGTGCAATAACTTTCTCTGAGATGCTGGAAGGGGTGTCTAGGGAAATATGAGGTTAATTTTTCTATGTCAGGTCTGCGTAGGCATGGCAGATGGGGGAAAGATATCAGCTGGTTTGGCAGCTGGTAGTTTGGTTGGGATACTTTAGCAATGGAAGAAGAGTACTTCGCCCATCTCTCCTCTACTGGGTATTCCTCAGCCATCTCCTCTGCCTCCTGGTCATCTCCCAGGAAAAAGCTGCACAAATACCTTGCTTTTGTAAACAAGTTATCTTGTCTTTTGGAAGAAAATGGCAATGGAATAGGAGATCTGGTGCATTGGACACTAGGTAGAGTGGGTGATGGCTGAGTTGTGTTACCATGGCAACAGGATTACCAGAAATAGCCAGGAAAATCTTAAAATGGATTCTGAAAAGAAAAGGAGAGTACGCTCTGCTCTATTTTTGTGAAAACACACTGGATTTTAATGGCAGTCCTGTACATGGAATAATGAGCACTTATTTCCCATCAGTCAGCCATTGTTTGGTGTTCTGTCAAAGAAAAATCTCTAGGCAACAGTATAAGAATTATGTGGGTATTACGAGCTCTCCAGTAGAATCTTGGATGCTAGGGTTTGGGAAGATCACCTGGGTCAGAGCTGTTCCAAATAGCCTGTCTATCATAATCTCTTGAAAGGAGGGGCTAGCGGTCACCAACAAATGCACGGAACACAGGAGCTTCAATAGACCGGTCATTGATAGTGTTTTAAAACCTTACAGGTTTTGGACTGAAGTATTTTTTTGTTTCGTTGTGAACATAAATACTGAAGTTCTATTTAATCTGCCTAGCCATCCATGTACTTTTGACGTGCTTTATCAAAAGGAACTAGTGGGGGACTTTATAGACAGAAGATGCTGAACTTATGCTTTGGAGGGACCTTTTCCGTAAAGTATGTACCTGCCAAGGGTTCCACCAAAGCTTTAGGTGGAGCCATGGGAAGGCAAGCAAGATAATAAAATGGTCTCCAAGGCTTCTCCAAATTCAGGAGAATTTCTGACCTTTTAAAAGAGAGAGATCTTATTTATTTATATTTAAGAAACTATCACTGAAAGCAAAAGGAGCCAGATTCTGTACTGTAGTACACCTGCACAATCCCATTGAGTGCAGTTTGGTATAAGAGCAGAATTTAGATGGTATTCTAAACTTATCATCTATGAGTTTAGGGTAAGTTAAAGGTGGGAAAGGATGTTTATGGCTGTAGGAAATAAGTACATTGTGGTTGCGTCTTCAGGAGATTATTCTGTTTGTTGTTCCTTTTCAGTGGTGTAAGGAAAATCAACTCTAAGGTTAGAATGTGAATCATCTTGTCATTGCTACTCATCAAAGCTTCCCTGAAACAGAATGCCCTAGTGTAGTGGTTCTCAAACTTTTTTTTTCACAGACCACTTGAAAATTGCTCGGCGGACCACTTAATAATCTTTCCAAATGTTGTTTGTACCATTAGCTAACTATTGTAAAGCTTTTTGGATAAAAGCTCTCTATAAAATACCCTTAATAATAATGTTTTTTTGTTCTACAAATAAAAGCACAAAACTCATATTTTAATATTAGTAGTCTTACCTTTCTTATGCGATGGATGTGCCCTCTATCCCCTGCCGCAGCAGCCCCTGAGCTGAAGCTGAGAAGGAGGGCCATCTCTCCCTGGCAGCTGTAGCCCTGGAGCTGGGGAAAGTCGCCTCTTTCTCTGGCCGCCGCAGCCCTGCATGTCCCAAATTCCCCCCATTCCCTCTTCCCCCCCATTGCCCTCTGTCACCTCCTATTCCCCCCAAGGCCACCACCTCACCTTACATGTGCGTCTTCTCCAGGGTCTAGGCACCTAATTAGTGGAGCCATGTCTGCGCGGCTCCACTAATTAGGTGCGTGGCCCTTCATTCTTTCGTCTGCGGCCGCCCAAGCATGCATCTTAGAGGGAACTATCTGCAGACCACCTGAATGGAGCTCGGACCACAGTTTGAGAAGCTCTGCCCTAGTGCAAAGAGTTGTCACTTCAGTGCTCCTTAGCAGTGTATGGAGAGGTACTGGCTTAGTTTCAGGCATTTATCTAAAACGTTCATTTCAAATGCCTCTGTCAAGGGGAGTATGGTTAACCAGGCATCCACTTGGTTAACCACGCTGATCAAAGCTGTTTCCTTTATTTTAGAAAAGGTGTGTGGTGAAGAGGTGTGTTTTTATATTGATCTAAAAAGATAATCTATCCTGATAAGTGGAAGGGGTGGAGATGGCCTACTTTTTCTTCCAAATGATTGGGCACATTTAGTTTATGTTTTTGTGCCTATTTTGTGCACTCTAAAACCCTTTTATTGGCAGCCTCTTCAAAAGATTGATGCATTTTTTCCATCTAGACCAATCAGTTACAGGACTCCTGACTGTCTGTGGATATATTTTTGTGTTTCCACCTAGTTATCACTGTGTCTATTGATTATTCACTGCGTCTGTTGATTATTCACTGCGAACACAGAAATGGACAGGTATCTAGGTTCATATACTTCTGTAGGCAATGTTCTTAAGTTTTTCAATGAAATCCAGATTTTAGACCTAATGGAAATTACCTGAAACTCAGAAGTTTCACCTCAAAAAGAAAACCACCTCCACGAGAGGCATACAGCTCTTACTGGTGATGCTTTTGCGGTGATGTGCAAGTGAAGACATGTTCTTCCTGTTTACACAGCTTTTAGCCTCCGCAGGATATCCCAAAGTGCCTAGATGACCACTCTCGCCAGCAGCTCTGCTGCTCTGACGCCAGGTAAACAGACATCCACCCTTTCCCCAGGAAAGCCCCGGGAACTTTGAAACTCCCCTTCCTGTTTTCTTGGCAAATGCTCACTGATCATCTGGCCAGGAGACAATGCCTGCTCTGTGGAGCAAACGATCCCCTGCTTGGACCCATGCTGAACTGCTGGAGCTGATCAGTGTTTGGGGAGAGGAGGCTGTGCAGGGACCCAGGATGCCCCGCGATCACACCATTGCCCCCTTCCCACAAGACCCATTGTCAAACTAGAGAGAGCTGCACTGTGGGATAGCTGCCCTCAGTGCACTGCTCTCATCTGCGATGGAAGTGCTACAAATGTAAACACTCTCTGATGCCTGTTGAAGTAAGTGAGTACACAAACCAGTGCTTTTCTTTCACTGGTTCACTATCACTGGTGAAACTGACAGTGCAAAAACTCTGCAAGTGTAGACATAGCCTGACTCTTAGAAAAGTCACTGAGATCTGGCATTTAGATTTCTTGTGGGAAGGCAACTGTAAAAACTTAAATGCATATTTACCAGGTAAGAACAAGGTAATCAAAGAGAAAAATAATGTAAACACTTATTTTTCTACCTGGAAGTGGGTCACATTCTACCTTTGGCTGGGTTAATGGGATGGCATGAGTGACTGTGAAAGTGGCCTTACTTATGTTTGTTTCTTTCAGGGATGCTTACAGGAATAGGGTGGG